TAAGGAGATGCGACTCGGTATAGGAGTTCTTCAGGACATCATCAATGATACTGCCAAGTTTAATCGCGGAACACCATTTTTGAAAGTGACTTTTGATTTTTTATCGATTTTTCCATTATGTCCCGTTTTCTCCATGTCAGACGGGGCCTAAGGAGATGAGACTCGGTATAGATGTTCTTTAGGACATCGTCAATGATACTACTAAGTTTAATCGCGGAACTCCATTTTTCACGACCTACATTTTTTTTTTTTCGATTCTTCTGCGTCTTATAATCACGAAGGCGAATGGAGAAAAATTTATATTTTTCGAAACAAAAGTTTAAAATTTAGTTATGACATTATCCATGTTGTCTTGAAAATGGCTGCTAAAACAGGCTGCTAACTTCACATTTTGGCTGCTGTAACTGGCTGCCAACTTCACACTTTGGCTGCTGTAATGCGGCTGCTAGTTTCACACCGGTTACTTATACAGAGTAGGGATTCTATGGTAAATACACGCCAGCAAACAGCCGAAATGTAGCAAGTTAATCAAATGATGAGTGGACTTAATGACAAATATGGAAGACGAAAAGGAAAAGAAAATTAAACCCAAAGGAAAAAAAAACAGGACCAGCTTGCAGCATTTTACAACAACAAGACTGAAGGGAGAAAGAAAGATAGGAAGGGGAAGACTTCGAGGAAGACCCAATAAAAACGAAAAACAAGAAAAATCCAGAAGACAAGAAGAACATGACCGGCATCAGGAAAATTTTGAACTTCAGCTACAATGGGTTCAAATCGTAATCTCTGAAGCACAAACCAGACTCAAGAAAATTCAAGAACGCAGTTCCATTCCGAACAGCTTAGAAATGTTCAAGTAAAAGATAGCAACATCAATGTATCTTTGATCCTGAACGGGACCGATAATAGATCACTGACAAACTTTAGAAAAGAAAATTACGGCGAGCTAAGGAAGAAAAACCGGAAAACAGAATTCTTCTTTCTGGGATAGAACTGGTGATGTCAATATTATCTGATAATGAGGCATACTACGACCGTTCGTGCAAGTCCAAAGACTGCCGCTGGCAGCATGGCAGTCAACAATGAACAGGAGGCCATTCTTTTAGTTCCCTTGACGTCAGTCCATCGGAAAAAGAACCAAGTAGGCATGAGACTAGACCTGGATGGACTGTATGAGAAGTATGATGAATAACAAAGGTCCAGAAGATATTATTATCAAATACTGCTGATAGTAGGGAGATTGAAAATTATGGAGGGAATTATTATGGAGCTGAGTAGAGTAGAGGTAAATAGGTACTCAGGTAAATACGTAAGGAGAAGGTGATGCATCTTGAGAGGGTCAGATCGGGACGATGTATTCAAGTGGCAGGCAGTGTTACGGAAAAACATCGGTGCCCAGAGGCCTCAAAGATTTTTGTTTGTTTTTCAAGTTAGGGACAGTTTGATTAAGAGATTTGTTATGTATACAGTTAGGTAAAAGCTATAAGTTGGATTTGTTGGAGATCTTCGATATCAATACCGCTATTGAATCATCATACTATGTGTAATGAATGGAACACCAAAAAATATTAGCCATTGCGAGAGCCAATGCTTTTGGTCATACCACAATAAAATCCCAAGTCCGTGGCTTTAGTATAGCAATTTTTTCTTCCTACAATATTGTCAACAATTATCTTTATTTATCAAACCTCTTCGTAACCTTTTTTTTAGTATTATTATTATTATCATGATTATTATTATTATTATTATAATTAGGTATTATTGAAGGTTTTTATTTTTGACATGACATAATAATAATGTCCAAAATGATATCAAACAGACCTGGTGGCCAACACAAGGCTAGTTGTTTTTCTTTTTGGTAACCTAAAAACCACTGAATTGCAGAATCGAAAAGAGCTGGTAATGGTAACGATGTGGTAAAGTGTTTCTATTCAGGTTAAATGGCACTTTGCCACTCAATTTTGAATGCAGATATGTATCACATTACTGTCAAAAATGCGAACGAAGTAGTTTATACCTAAAGTTGTTGATTTGTTCTAAGATTTGTTTATTTAATAATAACTGTAGCTTCTAGTAAGTTTTGTTTCTAACTTTGTTGATTGATCTTTGGTTTTATACAAGGTGTCTAAGAGGTACCTCTAGAAAATACTTCATACATTTTTACATAGAAAATATTGTGTAGATTAGCATTTCCTTTTGGAGAGAGAAATATAGATTGCTCTAGGATTAAATAAATACATAGATGTTAGGCAATTCGTTCAAGATAATTGTATTTTCGAAAGGTGTGAAAAAAAAATCAGAGGCGAGATGATTTTCTTAGGATTGTTCAAGGGGAGTGTCCTGAGTGTAAAAACACCGGAATCAGAAACTTTTCTCTTCCGCGCTCTTAGCTATAAGGGTTGTTTCTCAATATTGTGCTACAATGGAATTTTCGGTCTCTAATTGTAGATAATCGGATTCTCTATAACTTTTTCCTATACTTTTTTTTTCAAAATTCGTTATTTACTAAGCTAGCGCCCATTCTGTAAGCAATTTTTTACCTCCGATTAAACTACTAAGGATGGGCCAATGGAAACTTTCCACTCTGATTTTTTGGATTTGGAATAAAAATCTGAAAAAACGCTCAGACACATCGATTTTTGATTTAGGGAGGAACTATTTTTCAGTTTTTTTCATCCCTGTAGCTTTAACCCCCTAGCTGCTGGAAGAATAACCCCCCAAATTTGAATAAGGGATATGGATCGTGTCATACCTCTTTTTAAAGGTTTCATTGAGTTCTTTATGACCCTAGAATTTTGTCTTATTATTTTTAACGTAACGCAATGATAACTTGTTAAAATCTGGGAAATAGACTAGATTGTTTTAGTAGAAGTGAAAGCGATACTTACCTCCTTTAATAAAAATACTTACAATTAAAGTTGTTTGATTAGGTATTATTATTAATGATAATAAAACTGTAAGTATTTTTTTGACCATTTCTTGTATCAGTAGAGCCAAAAGCAAACAAGAAAACAATATGTCAATTTCCCTAATAGGAAGAATGATGTACCTACCTAACACGAGCGTAAAGTATCTTTTTCGCATTATAACTTTTCGCAATTGTTAGGTAAATAACTATTATTAAGGGAGGTGAGTATCGCTTTTACTCCTACTAAAACAATAGTCTATTTCCAATATTTTGTCAAGCTATCATTGCGTTACAGATAAAAGTAATAAGACGAAATTCTAGGGCCATGAAGAACTCGATAAGACCTCCAAAAAGAGGTATGACACGACCTCCATCCCCTATTCAAATTTGGGGGATTGTTTTCCCCCCAGCTAGGAGGTTAAAGGTACGGGGATGACAAAAACTGAAAAATACTTCCTCCTCAAATGAAAAATCGACGTGTCCGAGTGTTTTTCCAGATTTTTATTCCAAATCCAAAAAGTTGGGGAGGAAAGTTTCCATTGGCCCACCCTGTGTAATAGGAGGTAAAAAATTGCTCACTAAATGGGCGCTAGCTTATTAAATATTGAATATAAAAAAAAAAATTGGGAAAAGTTGTAGAGAATCCGATTATCTACAATTAGGGAACAAAAATGCCATTGCAGCACAATGTTGAGAAACAACCCCTATAGCTGAGGGCGCGGAAGAGGAAAATTTCTAATTACGGTGTTTTTACACTTGAATAACCCTAGAAAAATTAGCTTGCCTCTATTTTTTTTTTTTTTTTTTTTCAACTGACAATAATTATCATTAAATTTCAAGAAAAAACCGAGGAAAAAACTATTTAAAAAAAATAGGTTGCGGCGATCTGACCGAGGATACGGCCCTGAAACATACGAACTCTTTGGTCTATTTTTTGAACTAGAAGTAGGCATAACAAGTTTTTGATGGGCAATCGACTGGGCACTGATGAACAAAAGTATCCCCTTTTTTTTGGAAATTTGGGCAACTTCAGGGGCTATCTTCCCATACTTTAAAATCAAGTTTAAAAAATTCGTCATGAAACTCTATAACCTCGTCTATAACCATGTTCCTACAGCTTTAAAAAAAAATCTGACTTGTTGAGATTTGGAAGAGAACCGAAACATAGTTACTTGGACAAGAGCTTTCTATAGTATCAACGAGGGGTGTTTCACGATCGGCATTGGTGTACAAATTTACGGCAATAATTACGGCAGTGAGAGTAATGATATAGGAATTGTGGGCATTGAATAGATAAATAAGGGAAATTGAGGCAGTGATAGCGGAATTGACAGCATTGAATTGATTTCGGATTTCGGAATTGACGGGATTGATGTCAGAATTGACGGCATTGATATCGTAATTGATGGCATTGTTGTCGGAATTGACGGCATTGTGTCGGAATTGAGGGCATTGTGTCGGAATTGACGGCATTGATGTTGGCATTCTTGACATTGATTGCGACATTGTCGGCATTGACAGAAATGTTCGCAGCAATCGCCATAGGCATTGACAAGGCAGTGTTATTAAACATTGCCTAACTTAGGCAGTGGTGTACACATTTTTGGGTAGGTGAAACACCCTCGAGTATCAAGGAATTTCTGAACTTTTTTTTATAAGGCAAAAACAATAAAACTATTATCTGCACCTAATTGTTCCTGGTACCAACAATCGAACAATCCATATGAATGCTTCATTGAATGTAAGCTATCTTTTATTAATTCATAAGTTAACATTGGATTTATTATTTTAAATAAAATCCTAGATATGTTTTAAATTGTTACAATCAAGTTTTTTGTTGTTGTAGCTAGTAGGTGTTATCTATGCATTATTTTTCCCTTGTGTTTCCACTTTTGTTTAGCATGTTTATTTTAATGTTTCAACTTGCCAGTGGTATTATAATCAAAGTTCCTACCTACTATGGCATTTCATTGTGATATTCCTTATTTATACTATGACTACTACTATGTACTACTACTTTCCCCAACATACTATAGGTCTAGAGCAAAGTTACAAACTCAACAATAAAAAACAAAAATAAAATGCAACTTACCATATAATGTAAGTTATTCTCTCCAGTACGATTTGCAGCTCCCTGAGAGGTTCTTAGTGTTGGTTCAGCATAGATGGGCTCAGGGACACTCTGAACACAAAACGGAAATTTAGGCACACTTCGAATTCCTTTGGCAGATAGAGACAAGCAACCTATGTTACCTAGGACTTGTAGTTTATTTCCACTTGAACTTACAGTACATTTAGATTGATCAAAATCTTGAGTCTCTGAAGGAGGTTTTGGCAGACTCCGGCAAGATTTGCTACGGAATAATACACTGTCATCACTATCTTCACCAGAAGTGGTTGATACTTCAACTTTGCTTTGTTTGCGTGCCAATAACTTGTTGCTTTTCAGAGCCGTTTGAAGTTTATTTAGCATATATTTTGGATCACCCTTTTTTTCATTCTTTTTTTCACTCTTTTTGGGCAAACTATGTAGAAAAGAGATATTTTTTTGACACGTGGGTTTAATAACATTTTCAACAAAATGTTGGAAGGTTCTTGGAGGTTTCTTGGGTGGTGGTCCAGTTGGTAATGGCTTCTTCAATGCCACTTTCAAAGAGTCGGTGAAGCCTGCAGCTAACTCCTCTTCATGATTCTGTCCTGCTTTTTTATCGGTTAGTTGTAAAGTGCTTGTGGTATAAATGCTTTCATGTTTTGATTCAAATTGTGGAGATTCATTGCTGGTGGAAGATTCACTTGATTTTTTAGGCCGCAGAGATTTAGGGATTGGTTCTGTATATATCAAAGATAAATCAATGTTTTCTGGTATTACATCTTCATTAGCATCCCTTTCAATTATATTACATTGCTCATCAGTGGTCAAGTTCTTATTTGGTGTACAGCTTTTGTCAAGGCTCTTGTAAATATTGTCAGAAATATTTTTCAAGGGCAATTCAAGAGCATCTGGTAGTAATATTGGATCTTGGTTGAATTTACTTCTTAGATATTCAAAACTCGATTCAAAATTATGAGAACTTCTAGATTTATTTAAAAGTGGCGTTTTAATGAGAGCTGCTCGAGGAGCTGCTTTTGGACGTGAAGGGCTTTTCAAACCATGTGAATCAGTGTCATGAGTGTCATGAGTGTCTGAAAAGGAGCAATTTGCTTTGTCATCTGATGAGTCTGATGGAATATAACTAACATCACACCTTTCAATTATTGCATTAGAGCACTGAGATTCTGAAGCATACAAAGTACATCCGTTGCCACTGATTTTTTTTTTGTCAATATTATCTTCAAAACTTTTGACACTGTGAAACTGTTGTACTTTGGTTTCAAATAAAGTCTTCTGACTCAGATTTTCACTTTGAATATCTACAGGTTCAATCACTGACTCTGCATTCATGTCCACTCTGAATGCAGGAGTTCTTTTGATATTTCGTTTAAGTGGGTCAGAGTGTTGTCTTGATAATAGTTGTTGGCTATTTCTTGTAAGAGATTCATATGGAGTTGTCTGCTTGGTTGACTGAGAGCTTCTTAAGTTAAGTTTTATAGGGGTAGAGTCTGCCACTGTATTCAAATGTTCAAAATTTTTGAGAATAAGTTTTGATGAAGATATTGGAACATCTTGCTGCTTTCGACTTTCAATATTTTCAAATTTCTTTTTCATGGATCTAACTCGGTTGGAATTCTGTGGTGGTTTATACATTGTTTTTGCCCTACTTGATTGTTACATGATAGCTTGTAGCACTAGTGTATGTTAGCATTAGCAAAGCAACAAGTGGACTTAACTGTAAATAAAAACATAGAATTAGGTACCTACTTACAAGAATGGTAAGAATGATGCTGACAGCAAAAATAATCAAGGGAATAATCATCAACTGGCATAAAAAACACCTAGTAAACATAAAAGTGATCACTTACCCTTCATAAATTTCTTTGAAATGTTAACTAATTGATCACAACAATTGGCTACCGGCTAATGAACGAGCACACGGGTCCGAGTTCGCGAATGATTTATTAAAAGCTCGCAGCTAGCTATGAATTGTCTAGTAAATAACTTGATTATAACCACCAAAAACTTCAACCTTGCAGGATTGTTTTGTTTTGTGATTTTAATTTACCGTGGTACTGACTGACAGTGATCGTGTACTGTCCACTGCGGTACCGTTTGGACAATTACCACGGAGCTTGCACCAAGGCACATCAGCTGATGTTCTCTGTCTTGCTTCAGCTAAAGTCATTAAAGTAGGACAGAGAACTGCACAGAGCCAGCTGGGTTGCGTTCGATAACGTGGTGTGTATAGTTAACAGAAGAATAATACTTAATACACAAATAATTGCTTATCGGCCTCGTTTTTACTAATCGCGGATATATTGGTGTAGCACCATTGTCGACGTCATTAACTAAGTCGTCACCTGTTTGCGCCAGCGGTCGTAGTACTCGTAGTTTAGACTTTAGAATTTAAATGCAGTATGAAAAATATTTAATTTTGATTAACATACCTTGCGTTCGGTATTTAGCTCAAAGAGCAGAGCGTGCTGAGCGGAGCCGTAATCACGTGACCAGCGAGCGAACAGAGCAGTTGAACGCTATATAGAAGTGTCAGAAATTTTAATCAACGAACGCGAATGAGCCTGCACCGAGTACACTTTTTGAATAAACAAACGGTAAAGTCAAGCTCGGAGAACACAGACCAAAATAACGAACGCACGGATAATAGGCAAAAAGGAAGAAGCAAACGAGATCTAAAAAACAGTTGTTTTAGAATGTTGAATGTAGTAAAACCATAGGCATTTTTTAGCGAGCTCCCGTAAGTTCCCGTGTTACAAGCGGTAACAGGGAATCAATCAATAACCCATCCTTTTTGCGAGAAAACCGTAATGGGAGAAGGTGTTTTGCTGTCATAAAGTGACGTCATCATTCTATAACACGGTTATTGTTTTTGATACCCAAGTTGAGAGTTGAGTAACTGAAAAATTCTAACTTTAGATTCATTTATGATTGTTTTGATGTGTAAAAGTGAATTTTTTCTGAGGTTTTTTGTTATTGGAGGATATCAAAAAATGACAGATTTCGCCGGTAGTAGAAGGGACCACAAACTTGACTCGATAAGACTAGAAATTAGAATATACAGGGTGTTTTCAAACATAATATCGTCAATTAGTAATAAGGACTTAATTATTGACTTCATTTCTTTTATGTTTACGTTTACCACAAAATATGAACTAACCTCACTTTACTGTAAAATTTTGATAACCGTTCCGTTTTAGCGAGAAGCGGTTTAATCCTAGAAATCGGCCAATGGTAGGGATATATTTTTCAAGTGGGGCTGTAACCGTGTATAACCGCACGGGTTTTAAACGGTTATTACTGGGATCTCGCTAAAAAATGCCTCATGTATGCATAAAGCAAAAGCCCGCGGAATCATAACCTGTGGTCCAAACACCCTACGTCAAGGCGATAAACCACCCACATGCTGTCAACGTCATCACTGGTACTTTGGCATAGTGGGGGCCTTGAGATTTGAACTACACAGACTTTATGAGGATTATCTATCCTGTAGTAGTGTGTATTATCCTTGGAGTCAACACACAGTTGCCATTTGGAAAGTCGGAGGTTGGAGTTTGAATAAAAAACGTAGTGTTTTCGGCATTCGGAATGGTGGTGTTCAGTACTGTTGTTTCCATATCTCGTTGGTTGTCACGTACAGCTTCGCACTCTTAGCAGACAGTTGAGTAAATAATAATACTCAATCGTTTGGAAATCATTTGGAAACATATATTTCAAATTTGGAAACAGAATCTCAATACTCATCAATAATTAATTAAGTGTTATGTTTGGTTTGGAAACCGACCGTTTTTTGAATTTATCATCAAATTGTTTTATTTAGCTAAGGCCCATTTGTACACTCTTAATTGGCTCAAAACAGAGTTCAGCTAAACTCGACTGGTACTTGAACTTCCCCAATTGAAATGCATTGCTGTCAAAATTCATTAATAGCTGACAGCAATGTATTTTAAATGGGAAAACTCAAGTACCAGTTGAGTTGAGCTGAACTCTGTTTTGAACCAAGATTGTACAACTGGACCCAACCAATCCGTATGACAAAGCCAAACGCTACCCATTAGGTAGGTACGTATTTTAAATAACATTTTCTGCTTCTGCTCCCAGAGACATCGCAGGAGTCCTATTTTCGAATATTTTCGTATACGAAATTCGATACGATTTCGAATGTCCCAATTTAATTTACATTGCTGTCAGTCAAATTTCGTGTACGAAATGCACTCGAATGGTTTCGAAAATCGCACCCCAGATCTCTGCGGGAGTGCTCCGAGAGCGATTTTAATTCAAACGAGGGCATACCATTTGAAATCAATAGCCGAACGTATCTGAAGCCCCCCCAATGCTCCGTTTCAAGCCGAACATGTGAATCGTTTCGGATCGCTTTTTGATCAATCGGGTGCAGTTTCAAGTTGAAAGTCGAAAGCTCTAAAACATTTATTGTACAGTATGATAAACCTTTCAGAGCAGGTAAAGCACTGTAATACGGACATAAGGAGTAGGGGTTTGTTTTTTGTGTTGTTCGGGGCAGCACTTCCTGCTTTGAGGCGTTCGTTTGTGAGCGTTCTATATGGAAATATTCGTTCTTTTTCGACATTGCTTTGACAATTTGACGTTTGATATACGCATGAAACGTCAAATTGGCGAAGCAATGTCAAAAAAGAGAATTATTACGCAGTTATGAGTACTAGGCTTTATCCATATACATGTTACATGCTTTTAGAAAAAGATGAGTGTATCCCTCAGTGCGCACTGATTGACAAATGGAAATCGCCATTAGTGCGACACAAACAAATAAACCTAGGAACGCGCCATTCTGCTTGAAACTATCCGTGCGTTCGGTATTTTGATCTGAGTTCACCGAGCATTAATTTACCGTTCGTTTACATAAAAAGTGTACTCGGTGCAGGCTCATTCACGTTCGTTTATTTAAAATTTCAAGGCCTCTAAAGATGCATCCACACTGGTGCAACAACAGCGCAAAACGTTCGCGAACGTTGCAGAACATTTCCAGTTTGGACGGCTGCGCGCTCAGACCTGCTCGCGCGCGCTCTGTTTTGCGCAGCGCAAAATGATTTCCATGCGGTGGCGGTACATAAGCAAAAAATTGTTGCATTAGTCTGGACGTTATCCGCGCTGCGCGGGATGCTTGTTGCAAAATGTTCGCGAACGTTTTGCGCTGTTTGTTGCACCAGTCTGGATGCACCATACAGCGTTTAACTGCTCTAAGCGCTTGCGCTCGCTGGTCACGTGATTACGGCTCCGCTCTGCAGGCTCTGCTCTTTGAGCAAAATACCGAACGCAAGGTAAGTGAAAGCCAAGTTTTTGGCAAAGATGGGGGCTAAGACGAGAGCGTTCCAGTGCTGCGTATGTCGAACAGTTCAAGAGCGTCACACTTCAGGAGCATGATACTCTAACAATTTAGGCACTGGAAAGCGGCTAAGGATTGCTTATCGGCCTCGTTCGCCTCGCTTTTGGTAATCGCCGCCATATTGGTGTGTTACCATTTCCGACGTCATAACTAAGTCGTCAGCTGTTTAAACAGCCTACGTCAAGGCGAAAAATAACATACTGTCTACGTCACAACTTGTAATTTGGCGGGAGGGGGGGGGGGGGAAGAGGGGATTTGTTACACACAGAGCCGCTTTCCAGTATGCACATTGGCGCGCTCCAGAGCACCTCGGGGGCGCCACGCACTAGATTTGACTAGATTCTAGGGGCTGCCCCCCCCCCCCGTGGACGAGTTAACACCGTTGCCAAATGTATCGTAATTCGTAATAAGTGGGTGCTAGTCTGTATATTGGTATTTTAAACGAAAATAGAGCTCTAAGCCAATTTAAACTAAGCAGTTTTCTTAAAATTCTTTTAAAAAAATGAAAATTAGGGCTTAGTTTACGCTGGAACTAAAAAATATATTAGTAATAAAGCATCAATCAAAAATATGTACCTATACACACGAGTTCCAAGTAGGTTGAAATTCTTACTGCGATTGGCACAATTTCCCATTAATTAATATTTGTTATTTTCATTTATTACTATTCTTCACAGCATAAATACACCTCAAATGTTTCCTTATCATTTATTTTAATTGATTTGTAATATTTTATCTAATTCAATTTTTGTAAGTTAACATGATCTCAAAGGAAAATAAAACTATCCGTTTACTGCAAAAAATTAATGGCTATTTTATTATCATAATAATTAACATTTTTCCTTTTGTCTGTTTTTTGCTTTTTTATTTTTTGTTGAAAATAAAAGAGAATTATGGCGCTGTGGAATAATCTTTGGTACTGCTCTGCTCCTGGTTTTGGTTTTTCATTGGTGAGCAAAGAATTTTTCCTTAGATGCTTTCCAGTGACCCATTTGAGTTACTCCTGAGCAGCTCAGAGTGCTCCACAATTGCTTTGCGCGTTCCAGTGCTTAGAGTGTCGTACACTTGAGCTATATATAAATAAATGTTGTTAGTCCAACTCTATAAACTCTACAAAAACACACCTTAAAAAGTTAATGTAATGTTGTTGTTTGCTATGCTCAGCTGATCGACGTTGAAATAGAAATGTCTAATGTACATGATGATGCGCATGCGTCAACTCATGGCGGGGCAGCCGCTAGAATCTAGTCTAGATTTGTACCGTTCCAGTATCATGGCGTGAGACGCCTGTCTTAGTGTCAAATATGTCAAATTTTAAAAATAATTATCTATTTGTTTGTGCAGTTTGTTTTTTTATTTATCAAAAATGAAAGAGAATCAAAACTATATATTTTAAAATGTTCAATCTTGAGATATAACTAGAAATAAATAAATAGCCACCCACAGATGTGACAGCTGATAGGTTGACGCGTACGTACAGCTCGGGGGCTCCACGCCCCGAGTAGCTCCGGGCTTCACACTCCCATACTGGAAAGCGGCTCAGGCCTTATGAGGATAGGACATCCTGAAATCAGTGATGTGCCTGTAGACAGTCAACGTAAACAATTGATTGTCTACGCGTAGAGAATTCGAATTGTTTACGTGAGCATTTGTCTACACATTGTCTACATGCGACGTGAACAATAACTTATTTTAAAAAATTCAAAAAAGAATATCAAAAGTTAC